AAATAAATAAATAAATAAATAAATAAATAAATAATATATGAGTATTATACTTGGATCAGGAGTATAATAATATATGAGTATTATACTTGGATCAAATTGCTTGCTCAGACTTAAAGCATAATTGCATGAATGATGGTGAGCAAGTATACTTGCTAAACAGCAAAAAGTTTAAAGTGAATAATCTTGTATTATTTTTAGGAAAACAAGATAAACGTTCTTGGGAGGGTTACTGGCTTTACTATAATGAAACATCAACAGTGAAAATATCCAATATGTGAATCATGAGCATTTGTGTTTGATCAATTAAAACAATAATAACAACAACTGTATTGTCCTGTACTAACTTACCAGGGAGAAACCCTATGGAACTCATTGGAACTTTCTTCTGAATAAGCATGTATAGAATTTTACTCTGTTTATTCAGTGCACATTGCTAAATAGCATGTATGCATTACAATCTCCTTTTAAAGGGTACCATTTCAAATATTCCAAGGGGATACCCATGATGTTTATTGCATAATGAAACAATTGCCCTATAATAATAGAGTAGTTAGGGAGTTTTGAAGCAAAATTTCTGCAAACTCACCAGTGGTTGGACCTGATTGGAGTTGAAGAGTGAAAGATTGGAACCTGGCACACCATATTCAGTTCCCCATTTGACCACACAAATCATGTGATAGTCTTGGGCCAGTCATTTAGCACAATCTCCCTTCCCCCCACCCCCAAAAAAGCCCCATGGCATTTTCAAAATAAAAACTAATTTTAGGGAGTTATGCCTTCTGTTTGAAAATGTACATTTTATTTATCTATTTATTTATTAAATTTATGTGGCTGCCCATCTCATAGGAAGTGACTCTGGACAGCATACAGCAAAAAATATAAAACAAATATGTCAAACATAGTGATATTAAAAAGAACACATGCACACAAGAGATTAGATCAGTAAGGGAGCCACCTCTAGATCTCACTTTATAAAGTGGGGAAGACATTCTTTTGATTTTATTTTTTATTATTTATTTTGTGATCAATGGCTTCCCAGTAATAGCTTTTATGAAGTGAGAGGATTTATTATCCACTGAGTATATCTGTTAGTACACTGTGTATACCTCCTAGATGGTGGCATATGGGTAACTCTGTTGATTTGCCAGATAAATGTAGAGATCCTACTAAATTATATAGAATAGCTTAAGCAAGCTTGGGTAAAACTAGGCTTTGGTTGTATTTGTGTAACACTGGACAAAATGTGCCAAAACTGACTGGTCCTGGAATGCTGCATATGGTACAGCAGCAAAGTTTCTTTGAGCCCATCTAGTGATGACCAAGGCATATTGAAGGTTGTGATTTGGAATGCAAGAAGAGTAAATGGTAGATGGATGAATTAATGAACAAAATGAAATAGGAAGAAAAGGAAAGGTATATTGTTTGTTTGTCATACTAAGGAAGGAGAAGAATATGTGAATGAAGGTAGTTTGATCTTGTAGACTTGATGACTATATGGAGGGAAGTGAAGGTGTAGGTTTAATTATGAGTGAAGGGGCTAAATGTATGTCAGAAAGTAATGAAGGTAGTTTGATCTTGTAGACTTGATGACTATATGGAGGGAAGTGAAGGTGAATTATGAATGTCAGAAAGTATGAACTGGTATCTCCTGGGCTGTTGTGA